TTCTTTTCCAGTGCACATGGTTCATGCTCCAGAATAGACCATATGTTAGTCCACAAAACAAGCCTCAGTAAATTTAAAAACATTGAAATACTACAAAGCATCTTCTCAGATCACAATGCTATCAAATTAGAAGTCAATAATAAGATCAGGTTAAAAAAAATCAAATACATGGAAATTGAATAGTACACTACTCAAGAACCACTGGTTAACACAGGAAATAAATTATGAAATTAAAAAATTCCTAGAAACAAGTGAGAATGAAAACAAAACATACCAAAACATTTGGGATACAGTGAAAGCAGTACTCAGAGATCAATTTATAGTAATTAATGCACACATTAAAAAAAGAAAGAAAGAACTGAAATCAACACCTTAAGCCAACAATTCCAACAGTTCTAAAATGTGCAAAAAAAGAAGCCTAGAGTCTCCAGAAGAAAGGAAATAATAAAGATCAGAGCAGAAAACAAAAAAAGCAATAGAAAAATTCAACAAGACTAGAAGCAGGTTTTTTAAAAAGATTAACAAAATTAATAAACCATTGGCAAATTCAAGTAAGGAAAAGAAAGAGAAGATGCAAACAACACACATAATAAATGAAATGAGCAACATCACAGCAGAATCAATTGAAACAAAAAGGATAATAACAGGATACTATGAAGAACTATATGCCAACAAATTTTAAAATCTAGAAGAAATGGACAAATTTCTAGAAATACAAGACCTACCTAAACTAATACAGACTGAGGTAGGAAATTTGAACAGACCATTGTCTCATTGGAGAATTTTATCGAACATGCAGAGAGGATTTGAAACCTATCCAACACAAACTATTCAGAACATAGAAAAGGATGGGATACTCCCTAATTCATTCTATGAAGCATGCATAACCTTGATACCAAAAGCCAGCAAAGATACCACTAAAAAGGAAAACTATAGACCCATACCCCTCATGAAAATAGACACAAAAATCTTCAACAAATCCTAGCCAATAGAATCCAACACTATATCAAAAAATAATACACCATAATCAAGTGAGATTTATACCAGGTATACAAGAATGGTTCAATATTAGAAAAACAATCAACATAATCCATCACATAAATGAAACAAAGGAAAAGAACCACATGTTCATATTAATTGGTGCAGAAAAGGCATTTGATAAAATCCAACATCCATTCCTGGTAAAAAACTCTCAGCAAAATAGGAACAGAAAGGACATTTCTCAACATAATAAAAAGATATCTGAAAAGAAAATAAGGAAAACAATACCATTTACAATAGCTACCAAAAAGATTTTGAAAAAAAACAAACAAACTTAGGAATAAATCTTATCAGGGACACAAAGAACATATATACAGAAAACTATAAAACACTACTACAAGAAACTGTAAAAGATCAACATAAATGGAAGAACAAGTCATGCTCATAAATAAGAAGACTGAACAATGTGAAAATGTCAGTACTACCTAAAACAATCTACAGATTCAATGCAGTTCTAATCCAAATTCTATCAACATTCTTTAAGCACATAGATGAAACAATCACTAATTTTATATGGAAAGGAAAGAGACCTCAGATATGCAAAGCACTAAGGAAGAAGAAAACCACCCCTCCAATCTCAAAACCTACTGTGCAGCCTCAGCATTCAAAGCAGACTGGTATTGGTACAATGATAAACATGTAGACCAGCAGAACAGAATTGAGAATCCAGAAATAGATCTATCCCCATGGACAGCTGATCTTTGACAAAGGGCTGAAACTCATTTAATGTGGGGAAGAGATACTTCCTTTAATAAAAATTGGATATCCATTTTCAGAAAAAATGAACCAAGATCCATACCTGACACCATACACAAAAATGAACTCAAGATGGATCAAAGAACTAAATGTAAAACCCCAAACTATAAAGTTCATGAAAGATAAAATAGGAGCAAATGTAGGGACCTTAATTTATAACATGAATAGAATATCAAGCATAACTGAAAATGCATAAATAGCAGAAGATAAACTAGATGACTGGGACCTTCTAAAAGTTAAATTCTTATGTACATAAAAAGACTTCTCCAAAAGAATAAAAAGAGAACACACAGATGGGGAAAAAATATTTGGCAATGACATATCTGACCAGGGATTTATCTCTAAAAATTATGGAAAACTTCAACACATCAATGACAAACAAACAAACAATTCAATTAAAAAATGGGCGAAGGACATGGACATCAAAAAAGATATTCAGGCAGCCAACAAACACATGAAAAAATGTTAGCAATCACTAGCAATTAGACAGATTCAAATCAAAACAATGTGCTATCATTTCACCCAGCAATAATAGCAAGTTAAACAAGACAGAAAATAACAAATGCTGGTAAAGGTGTGGAGAGATTGGAACACTCATGCACTGCTGGTGGGACTGTAAAATGGTATAGCCTCTGTGGAAAAAATATGAAGCTTCCTTAAAAAGTAGGAAATAGAAATACCATTTGATCAAACAATCTCACTATTAGGAATATATCCTAAACAGGTGAGATCCTGGAAATAAATAGACATATGCACACCTATGTTCATCACAGCACTATTTACAGAGATAGAAACAATGTAAGTGCCCATCAACAGATGAATGGATAAAAAAATATGGTACAGACACACAATAGACTACTATGCAACATTAAAGAATAATGAAGAATCTGCAAATCACTTCAAAACATGGACAAATTGGGAGGACATTATGCTGAATAAAATTGGTTAATCACAGAATGACAAATACTGTGTGAGTCCATTATTATAAAAAGTCAAGGAAAGGTTTACACAGGAAAGGAAAGTTTCTTTGTTGGCTACAGCGATTGGAGGGGAGGGGAGGGAAAACTGCTGGCTGGTTAAGAGACATGTATTGATTTGGGTGAAGGGAAAGGCAATATAACAAAAGCATGTGACCAGCACAATATCATTAAAGAAAAGGAAGACATTGAGAGGTGCACAGGAGGTATGGACAATAAAAGTAAATACTATTACATACATAATACTGCATTATCAGTAATGGCAAACACTGATCTAGGGGGGATACATAGACAGACAGGCAAGAGGATCAAGGGTGGTAGGTGTATGGGAATATATTTATGACCATACATAGGTTGGGTAGACTATATTCCTACATGTGTATTTGTATGTGCTATAAAAATATCCATATGCAGTACATAGCTAATGGGATAAAGTTAGTACAACTTCTTAGCCACAACTAAGCACCTTGAGGGAGTAAGTAAGTCACTGGCCTGTGGGCTCAAGACCATGGTCATGGAGAACATCAAACTCAATTGGCATAACATAGTACACTAAAACATTGTTCTACATCCCACTTTGGTGAGTAGCTACTGGGGTCTTAAAAGCTTGTAGACAGCCATCTAAGATGCAACTCTTGGTGTCTACAAATTCAGAGCAAAGAAGAGTGAAGAAAATCAAAGAAACGTGCAAACAATTAGACCAAGGGACTAGTGGGCCAAGAGAATCTCAGCCTACATGACCCAGAGACCTGAAGAACTAAATGGTGCCCAGCTACCACTGCCACCACTCAGAAAGGGATGAAAATTGGAGATCCTGGATAGAGTGGGAGAAAAATATATGGAACAAAATTCAAAAACAAAAAAAAAAAGCCAAGATTACTGGCTTGATACAGACTGGTGAAACTCCTGAGTCTGTGGTTTCAAGTCACCCTTTGGGCCTGGAATTGGACTTATTCCCATGGCTTAACTCTCAGCCAAACAATAGATGAACTGAACAGTTATACCAAGGAGATACACTCCTTAAAACAATCAACCACAGGAGATCAGAAGGACAACATTTGCACAAGGAGGAAGCTAAGGAGGCAGGAATGCATAGGCAAAGACACCAAGAGGGTATGGAAAGAGAGCTGTTACATTGTGGGAATTGTAATCAATGTCACAAAACAAAATGTGTATGGACTGTTGAATGTAAAATGAATCTGCTTTGTAAAGTCTCACCGAAATCACAACAAAAAAGTTAAAAAAAAAAAAAAAAGAAAAAGACCTTAGCACACAACAAGCCTTTCTCAGTGTGTGAATATTATTAGTCATGTGCCCTTTGAGGTTTCAGGGGCAGAGTTTTTAAAGTTGAAAGTGTTGTAGTAATCAAATTTTACACTTTTTTTTGTGTGTATATGTGGTGAGTATCTTGACCTGATTTTACAAGAATGCTGCATTTAAGAGAACTATTTTCTAATAAAAACATTGGGAATCATTCTAAGCAATCAGCCAATTTGCAGATGGGATTTCAGAGAATGCTTCAAAATCAAGCAAACACAAACCATACCTAATAGCAATGGGAGGATTCCAACCAGGGCTGGATAAAAGTTAAGCTTATGAAATAGCAGAACATTGCCTCACAAACACTCCACATGTCCTTTGGATATTTCTGCAGCATCTCTCCGCGTTATACTCAATTCTGCACCTTATATGGGCCTGATCTGTCCTGCAGCCTCTACTGGTTTATTCTCCACCATCTAAGATCAGTTGTTTTTTTGTTTGTTTTTTACTTCCAATAACATCATATTCCTATGATACTCTGGCTATTGTTATAATTGGAGATATTCAAAAGAAGATTTTACATTAAAGGGCAAAATTTAAAGTAAAATCCCTATAAGATAATATTTTCCATACCTTATGAAATTTCTGTGTATACTTGTGGTAACAATTTAGAAGCAGACAATAATATTATAATGCACTTAAAATTATAAGGCTTATTCTAGCTTGACATTCAGGCTACTTAAATTTAAATTTCCTTTTGAAAGAAAGCAAGACTCACCATATGATTAACTCTAAATATGATCAACATTGATTATATAAGAATTCATATCTAATAAGATTTGGTTACCTATGCTAACTCCCATAAAAAAAAAAAAAAAAAAAAAGAAAGAAAGAAAGAAAAGGAAAAACTATGCCCAGCATTCTCTATCATCAAATAACTTCTGAGATTTGAAAAATACAACTCACCAAAGATACAGAGGACATAGGGCCACCCTGTGGTCTGGTAGAGGAGACCACCTACAGCAAAGATGATGATACATCCCAGCATTATCCCTGAACACAAGATGCATGCACTTTCTAGGTTAGATTTCCAGGCTATGGACTCTGTATGTTTCCTACAGATAGACTCTTTTAACAAAGCTGGGTTCTATAGGGATTACAAGTATGAGCTTTAATCCAGACAATCTAGGTTTAAATCCTACTCCTTTATTCAGTAACTGTGTAATCTTGGACAAGTTATTGATCTCTTTGTATTTCAATTTCCTTATATGTGTCTATTTGTATTTCAATTTCCTTATATGTGAAATGGGAATAATTATAGATTGCTGACTCTTAAGATTGTTCTGATGCTAGCTTGAAATGCAAATATATATATATATATATGTAACATACATATGTATATAAAAAAAGTTTGGCACATAGAAAACATTCACTTATGGCCAAGAAAGATAGCATAACAGAAGACCAGTCAGCCCCAGGGTTACAGGTGAGGAGAGACAACGCAGGGACACCCAGAGTAGCAGGCCAGAAAAGCAGGAGAAAGGGGATAAAATCCAGGAAGCGAGAGAGAAGAGCAATCAGCTGAAGGGATTAGGTGAGGAGGGGAAACTCAGGCCCGCCCAGAGTAGCAGGTCGGAAGAGCAGGAGAAAGGGGATAAAAGCCTTGAACCTGGACAGAAGAGCAGTCAGCCCCAGGGTTACAGGTGAGGAGAGACAACTCAGGGATGCCCAGAGTAGCAGGCCAGAAGAGCAGGAGAAAGGGGATAAAATCCAGGAA